CATATACTCTGAGCTATGGCATGCTTGTGCTGGTCCTCTCACTTCACTTCCCAAGAAAGGCAATGTAGTTGTGTATTTCCCACAAGGTCATTTGGAGCAAGATGCTATGGCTTCATATTCGTCTCCTCTTGAAATCCCTAAATTTGACCTTAACCCTCAAATCTTCTGCAGGGTGGTTAATGTTCAGTTGCTTGTAAGTCTGTCTGTATCATTTACCTAACAACATTCCTTTTGTGTTCTTTGTACTTTTATTGAACAAGTTCTGTTTCACTAATTGTGGTAATTGTTTCCAATTTTTGGTTTTCTTTTTGGGGGAATAAAAGGCTAATAAGGAAACTGATGAGGTCTATACTCAAGTTAGTCTCCTTCCACTGCAAGAGGTATTCTTTTTACTGAAACTGTGGTTCTTTGGCAAATTTAATTCATCTTTGGAAGGAGCAAATGCATATATGGTGTTAATACAAATAAATCATATCTGATTCGAAGCAGACTAATCTGATATTCACTAGTGTAACTCCAGACTCTTAGTGAGATTTTAGACTATATGGTAGAGAAGAGATTGTGAATAGTTTTGTTTGTTCTCTTGGTGACTCAATCCCATCATTTGTTTAAAAGGATCATTGAGAATTGAAGCATTGAAATTTTTGGTCTTCTTGAATAGGCATTTATAATCTCAGTGAGGTTAATATGTTGAAGAAACTTCTTGGGTTTTTTATAGTTTTCAATGCTAAATGCGGAGGGGAAAGAGGTTAGGGAGTTAGGAGGGGACGAAGAGAGGAACGGAAGCTCAACCATCAAACGAACACCTCATATGTTCTGCAAAACCTTAACAGCTTCTGACACAAGCACCCATGGAGGCTTCTCTGTACCTAGAAGAGCCGCTGAAGATTGTTTTGCTCCTCTCGTACGGTTCTCTAAAGATTTTCTTCGTTTTTAATCAGGAGAGGTTTGACCTTCTTGTTATATAAGCCTTATTTGGGAATTTTGTGTGGATGTTAGGACTACAAACAGCAGAGGCCATCTCAAGAGCTCATTGCAAAAGACCTCCATGGAGTAGAGTGGAAGTTTCGGCATATTTATAGAGGTGGCTCCGGTTGAGTTTATTATTGTTGGTTTCTTTTTTTTTTTCAGTGAAACACATATGTTTAGTTCTGTCTCTTTGTAATATAGGTCAACCAAGGAGACATCTGCTCACCACTGGTTGGAGTATATTCGTCAGTCAAAAGAATCTCGTCTCTGGTGATGCGGTTCTCTTTCTAAGGTAATTATAAGATTTCAGTTTATCAGATGCTGATGTGCAATGGTGGTGTTCCCCTCTGCTTTTGGTGGTTTGAAGCTCTTGATCCAAAAATGTTACATCCATTACTAATATTATTGCGTTTATAGAGACGAAAATGGAGAGCTGAGATTAGGAATCAGAAGAGCAGCACGGCCAAGAAACGGACTTCCTGACTCGATCATTGAGAAGAATCTATGTTCGAACATTCTGTCTCTTGTGGCTAATGCTGTGTCTACCAAAAGCATGTTTCATGTGTTCTACAGTCCACGGTAAAATAAATCGATAAACTGCCATTAGCAATGATTCTTAATTTGCTTTAAAAGGAAGAACTATAATGTTGATTCGTGGGTTCATAAACAGTGCGACACACGCAGAGTTTGTGATTCCTTATGAGAAGTATATTACAAGCATCAGGAATCCGATTTGCATAGGCACACGATTTAGAATGCGATTTGAGATGGAAGACTCTCCTGAGAGAAGGTATTGTTACTTCTTTCATTGTGTTGAGGCCAGCTAATTTTCTTGAAAGGAAATCTAAATTATTGTTTTATTGCAGATCCGCTGGCGTAGTGACTGGAGTCTGTGACTTGGACCCGTATAGGTGGCCAAACTCAAAATGGAGGTGTTTGTTGGTGCGTCCTCCCTCATCTTATTGGAGAATCTGTCTATTAACGTGTAGAGAATTTTTCATTTTCAAGATTTCTGTAGACAAATCTTTCACATTTGTTTGGTAGGTGCGATGGGATGAGTCTTTTGTGAGTGATCACCAAGAAAGAGTTTCCCCTTGGGAGATTGATCCTTCGGTATCTCTCCCACCCTTGAGTATTCAGTCATCTCCAAGGCCTAAAAGACCATGGGCAGGTCTACTGGATACTACTCCAACCGGAAACCCCATTACCGGTAAATGAAAAAACACATCTCTTGTCTTTGGAAGATATGCTTTTGCAAATAAATAGTTCAGAGTTTTTTTTTTTCATTTGTGCTGATGAGATTGATTACTGTTCTTGGTTGAAGCAGAAAGGGGTGGTTTTATGGACTTTGAGGAGTCGGTTAGACCCTCTAAGGTCTTGCAAGGTCAAGAAAATATAGGTTCTGCATCACCCTTACAGGGATTTGATGTTATGAACCGCCGGATACTGGATTTTGCGATGCAGTCTCATGCAAATCCAGTTCTTTTATCGGGTAGAGTGAAGGATCGATTTGGTGAGTTTGTAGATGCTACGGCCCTGGACCCAGCCTGTTCAGGTGTTATGGACCTGGATAGATTTCCAAGGGTCTTGCAAGGTCAAGAAATTTGCTCGCTTCGATCATTCCCTCAAATTGCTGGTTTCAATCCAGCTGCTGCTTCAGGGAAGCCTAATCTTGGATACACTGATCCCTTTGCTTATCAAGCCAACAAGTCAAGTTTCTATCCGCTAGCATCGCAAGGGATTAGGAGCACTCACATTCCATACCAGAACCAATACAATGCAGGAGACAAATCCTCGGGTGGCCCTTCTGGCGCAATAAACTTTAGTAGAGAGACTGGAAAGTTTGATGCACAAAATGAAGGTGGGCTACCAAAGAATGTTACAGCTGATTTGCCATTCAAGATTGGTATGACGGGAAAGCAGAAAGGCGACGACTTTAAAATGAATGCTTCATCAGGCTGTAAACTTTTTGGATTCTCCTTACCCGTGGAGACACCTGCATCTAACCCGCAAAGCTCGAGCAAAAGGATCTGCACAAAGGTAAAACCTTTTGCTTTATCATCTCTTTGGCTTATTGGAGCTGGCATTTAGAGATATCTCTTCTAATGAATTCTTGTTAAAAGGTTCACAAGCAGGGAAGTCTGGTGGGGAGAGCCATTGATTTGTCCCGACTAAATGGGTACAATGATCTCCTTACCGAGCTTGAACGGTTGTTCAACATGGAAGGGCTTCTCAGGGATCCGGAAAAAGGATGGAGGATCTTGTACACCGATAGTGAGAACGATATGATGGTTGTTGGCGATGATCCATGGCAGTAAGTTCTTCCATATCTTCTAAAGCTCAATCACAAATTCTTAGCACTGGTAAACTGATATTGGAATATTTTGCTATGGACAGTGATTTTTGCAATGTGGTGTGCAAGATCCACTTATACACGAAAGAGGAAGTGGAGAATGCGAATGACGATAACAAGAGTTGTTTAGAACAAGCAGCTCTCATGATGGAAGCATCAAAGTCATCTTCTGTGACTCAGCCAGATTCCTCTCCAACGGTCACTAGGGTTTGATTTTGATAAACCAGAAAAAGCTTCTTTTTAAGTTGTGCTTTAAGTGTGTTTTGATTACAAAAGACATAAAAAACTTCAAC